CCCCCTAAAATACTACCCTGGGTGACTCTTTAACTTTACATATTATATTACAGATCGTAAAAAAGATTTGGTAAAATTGCAAGGCGGTGAGTATGTATCTCTTGGTAAGGTTGAATCACAACTAAAAACCTGCCCAGTCGTTGATAATATATGTATTTATGGAAATCCATATCATATGTATACAATTGCATTGGTTGTACCCAACAGACATCACTTGATAGATATGGCTAAAAAATTGAATATTGAGAGTACAAATGAAATTAGTATTGAAGAATTGTTTTCCAATAAGAAATTGAAGAAAGCAGTTGCCGATGAGTTAACTGCCCATGGTAGAAAAAGTATGTCAATATTAATGTTTTTGATTATAAATAATCATGTTTTAATAATATTGTATGATTGTAACTTGTAATTGATTTCAGATAAACTTGAAAGGTTTGAAATACCTACAGAAATTATATTGTGTAATGATGTATGGACACCAGACAATAATCTAGTGACAGCTGCTTTCAAAATCAAACGAAGAGAAATATATGATAAATATAAAGTCCAAATTGATAATTTGTATCAATTTTGATAACATTTATTAATTGAAAAAAAAAGGAAGACCAAAACTACTAAATTTGATATTACTTTTAGAGTATGTTTATTTTACCAAAAGCAATTAATTAATTTTATATAATAGTATTTTAGGATGTATACATTAATAAATTATATATTGTTATTAATTCTTGCAAATTTAATTTTAGTTTGACACTTCATTCTTATTTAATGTTTATATAACATTTTTGTGTAATGTTATTTATCAAAACTTAATTATTGTCATTTATGGCTACAGATTTGTTCATGTTGATATTTCCATTACATTGTTGTTTTAATTGCTCTATTTGTTCAAATTGTTTGTGGTTACGTAAAATACAATTTTTTCTACGTTCTAAAACATAAAATGATAATTTATTATTTATAATTTAGTTTAAAATATTTTTCATGGTATGTATTTGAAGTTAGTCACTAATCATTTATGACTATAATATTGTCAAGTGAKAAATAACAAATGTTGTGTACATTAAGTATTAAAATTGATAATTTGTATTTTTGAAACTGGATTTTATTAGTTTAAAAAACCAAGTTTTAAGTTAAAGGTTTCAATATATCCCCAGTGACGGCAAAGAACTCGTTAACCTTAAGATATTAAAATATTTATAACTTATAACTAGGGTTTGGATTTTAAAACAAAATAAATAACAAAAAGAGCACAAAATGGTTTTGAAAAAGCAAAACTGAAGCATATTTATTTTTAAAAAAAGTAAAAAGAAACATTTATTAGTTTTAAAACTGAATAAAACCAATTGAAAAAAGAATTTGAATTAAAAAAAGAATTCCCTACCATATATTTGGCAAGATTTTCAGTAGTTAAACTGACTATTGTTTGACTTAATATTTTTATACATATAGAAAACCATGTAATATACTAATTTAAATAGTCCGTACTGCGTATTCTGGATTTTCTTATTAATTAAATTAAATATTTTTATTACTCTAACATAATAAACATAATATACAAATTCCACACCTAAAATAACTGAGAAGTGCATTTATACAAAAAAATACTAAAAATAAATTGGTTTATTTGGAATGAGAATGACATAAAACTAATTTATGTATAAAAATTCATTTTTTATCTCATATATAAAAAAAGAAGCATTTGCTTAAAAATTCGAGCCCTACATATAAATGATATTTTACATTATACAAATGCTCCAAGTTTATATTGAAAAAACAAAATGTTTAGTGCATGGATGACAACGGAGTATGTGTCTGCAGTAGGTGTAATCTGTTGGGTATGAATATCTAAGAATATTATGTTTGGTTGACCAGTATATTATGCCAAGTAGTGGAAACGGACTACCTGCTGTCACATAGTCCGTGTAAACCGTGTGATCAATAGTTACTACAATATACCTATTAGTTGAAAATATTCAACTATTGCATGATAGATAAAGTGATTATTAATGACATTCAAGATTATTTTTACCTATATTATTAAGTTGAATAATGAGAAAATTCTGAATGAGGACCACATTTATATGGCGGTAGAAGTTTTGACAGAACCGCGATTTGATTGGGAATCCAACTGTGATTCTGTTATAAAGACCTGTTTGAAACTGTGAAAATTGACTCTGAAGAAGACATGTGACATGCATGCAAACATCTCAAATTCTTTAGGTATACTAATCAAATCAGCTACGAGTGGAATATCCTTACTAAGCACAAATGTGTGTAAATAAATTTATAGCTATTCGATAATTCTTTTAACTTTAACTTGTAAGAGTACACTCAATAATATCTAGGTAGGTACCGTCAAACTGACTAACTTTAGGCCRAAATTATATCTTATAATTTTACCTCCATAATAGGCTTATAATTTAATTAATATAAACTAAATATTCTGTTGTTATCTTAAACATATTATTTAAATTCACTATAGTAGAATTGGAGTATCAGGTTTTAAACTTAAGTATTGATTAAATTAAATTTAGATACTGCTCTTTATCTCTTGTGTTGTTAACACAAGTCCTTGCTGTCCYGTTAAAAGGTAGGACAAGAATACACTCATTATTAACGAATTTTCGAAGAAAAAAACCATACATTTTAAATTATTTAGGATGAGCCGTAGACCTTGGTGCCCTTAGAATGTGCTCGCGGTGACCCTAGTGTGGTCTACTACGATTGAATTAACTAACAAGAATATTATTTACTTTATTATATATACCATATAGGTACCAGGTTTGGTAAAGTACCTATAGTTACTATTTATTGAAAATTAGTTCCTACATAAACTAATAAGGACCTATAGATATTCACAAATTATAACATTTTACTTATACTCGTAACTAACGAGATGGTAATTATTTTTTATTTAATAAAGTTACCTATTAAAAATTGTGAAATTAAGAATATTATTTTATTTCCTGATGTCATTATCAATTACAAAATATATTGGTTTATTAAATTCAGAAAATGGTCTATTATTTTATAAAATGTACAATATCTGCATAGGTAGCTGTTATAAAGTGTTGATCTGGTAAAGATCATGTTAACACGGAGCGTTATTTGAACTAAAAATAAATTTAATAAACCAGAAAGTAGATTTTACCAAGAGCCGGGATTTTTTTTAAATATCTCATTGATCCTAAAGTTATCGACTGATCTACACTGATAATATAATTTCTCTAAAGTACCTAGGTACTAACAAACATTCAGTAGGTATCTATTTTGTGTGATCTAGGTAAACAAACGTAGTATGGTAGTAGGTACCTATAATATTCTCAGAATTACTTTTCCATGAAAAATAAGCATTAATTTCTGGTTGTTTTACAGTAGGTATTAGATATTTATATAAATATATAATAAATATTATAGCAATAGGTATCAGTGGCGTAATTACACAGATATTTTCAATAATCAAATAGGAAGAATTAAATAAAATATAATTTTTTTTKTTGATAATGTTCATTTTTAAATATCTAGGTATTTATAGTGAAAAAAATATTAAAGAGAGGGATAATGAGGTTTATCACCAAAACCCCCTTGTGTGTACGCTACTGATGTATACCTATAGAACAGAATGTAAGTTGCTGTCGATTCTTACTGATGTTGTTTATCGGTGCGCAGTATCGTTCCACGGGGCTTAACGGACCATCCGGCACGAGTTCGCAAATGTAAGGCAACTTTCTTGAACAGTCCTCTGTTTCCCAGTACCTGTTGCCCGCGAGAACTACGCACTCTTTTCTTGGCTTACCARTTTTTGGATGACCTGGAGCCCACGCCCTAAACGGCAAACAACTCAACGGTTCACCTTGAGCACCAAAAGATTTAATACGTTGTTAATATTATWAGGTATTATTACTTGAAATATTTTTTTTATTGCTTTAACTATAAATGTACACCGTGCAGTAGTAGTTCAATTAGTCTAGCTGTATATATTATTTATGATAACCTAGGTAAGCAGGTCCGGTAGCGGTGTCGTATGCTATCTACGCACTAAATGWTATAAAAAAATCTTACTTCGTTTTAAACCAGAGCACTTYATAAATAAATGAAGATTGTCAATGAAAATTAACTTAATTAAAGTTGAAAAGTATTTTTCATATCAATAAAAAATGTTTCGAACGTATTTATTGTGTTTATGGAGTGCCACCATTCTTCTTTAAGCTGCCTTTCCATCAAATTAGTGGCACCAGCGATTTTATACCATATTTCACCTTTATATGTCGCCAATAACATTCCATAGTTTGAGTTTCAGCTCCTGTTTGTGGATCAATAAAATTATTTTTATGATTTACGGTATTGTGGATATAGCCATGATCGTTTAAACAGCTGTAAGCTTTCCATTCATCTGAAAAAATGGTCGTCCCTGGCTCAATTTCTCTTTTAATAATTGGAAGCAAAGTGGCGCGGTCTCTTTTTTGAACGATAAACAATCGACGTTCTACTATATTATCACGTCTACRACACATTCCAAACACCCAGGGCCCCTGTACGCGTACACCGTAATTTCGATTAGTTATTTCACTATCAGTATCAGAACTGCTAGATCCTGATTCTACAATTTCTTCTCTAGGTTGACGATCTCCTAGACGTAGACGACCACGGTTATACTCTTCCGCTTGCCTTGAAATAAAGATTCGTCTATTTGCACTACGAATCCTACACCAYCCATTTTCGTACGTTTTTCAAATTGGTCAACACAAATATCACGGCAAAGATTGTACCAATCCGACACGGTGTGTTGACTTCTGCCTGTCCATTTCATAGTTTGAATTACTTGCATACCATGTGCCCAATACCATACGAGCTCTACTATCTGGCATAAACTTAATCCGCTATTACATGTTCCATTAATATCGACATATGTAAAAAACGGATTTTTTTTACGAATGGACTGATAGATTTGACAACCACGTGTTTGGCAACGTAAGTATTTTGTTTTCACAAATTGCCCATCGGAATCTCGTTTGCGGCTATTTTTATAACATTCTTTGAGAACGCCACCACACACTTCATTGCTAACATTATTGATTTTTTCACAAAATTCTTGTTTAGGTAAGACACCTTTTTGTTTTAAAAAATTCACACAAGTATCATCAGTATAAATAATATGTCTATATAAATCACCAATTGAAGTCATTTTGAACGCAATACAAATGACAAACACACGCGAATAATTCACAGACACAACTAATCGACAATCGTTAAAAACCCGTGGGATCTAACTTTATACTTTGTAGAGTGTAGATAAATATTTGTAGATAGCATACGACACCGCTACCCGATAAAATAGTATTTGTAGATAGCATACGACACTAGTATTTAGTGCGTAGATAGCATACGACACCGCTACCGCAAATCCTAAATATACCAGGATGAAGGAACCGGACCGCAATGCCTTTAAATAAATTTAATAAATTAATTAAAGATTACCTACGTTAAGGGTTCAAGTCTTAAAAATATTTTTGTAGGGGTTCAGATTAAATTTCGATATTTTATGAAGTCAAACATATAGATTCCAGTTAAAATTAATTACAACCTATATCTAACCTTTATTTTGGTGTACTTTTTACCAAGCAAAAAATGTTATAGATGTTGTATGTTGTATGTTATACTTTATACTATCATGTAGGTACTATGAAAGTTTATGTA